GCTATGATGAGTTAATTTCCTCCTGGGAAGATGGAACAATGTCGTTTTGTTTATAACTGTTCTTCTGAAGAAAGACACTTCATGGGATCTGTAATATAAAAAAAGACTTTACACATTCTTGTGAAAATACTCAAGAAAACCGATTCAGCGTTAGAGAAATGCTTCCTGTTTACGGACTGAAAACATTTAGTGCCACGGAAACAAATATGTAAATAAATATTCCTCACAGGAAACATTTAAAACGCAATAAAACATTCAGACACTTACACACACACGTACACACGTACACGAGTGATTCTACAATTTAGGGTACATTCCATGTCCATTGATGTCCATTGATGATAATTATAATTATTCTAACTATTTTCTTCAAAAATATCATATTTTGCCTATTATTGGAAAGCATGTTATAATATCACACAAACATTATGTGCATCCTATGCTTTATTTAGCTTGAAATGTGTCATGATGTTCTTAAATTGTCAGTTTTTGCTATGTCCGTGTTTCAGTTGAGGGTGTCTTGGTTTCAAAATAATGAATAAAAACCATTAAAGTAAATAACAACTATTATTCATTTATTTCAAAAGTCTAAATACTAAAGAATAATAACATATTTTTAATTGATTTCCTCCTTTAAATAATTTAAATATCTTAATATATGAATGTCCGCAAAAGTTCTGTCAACTATGTTACTAACAGAACTCCCCCCTTTAACTCAAAAATTGTTTGTCCCAATACCATGTTACCAGCATCACATGATGCCATGTTCCTCTTTGGCAGACATTTTGAACACACTGTGGTGATTGTCCTCACATTTTTTACAATATTTTATGTATAATAGCACATTGTCAATGAGTATATTAATTGACCATCAACAATGTTACGTACATTGTTATGGTTTACAATTGTTTAATGATTTTAATTCAATTATATGTTCAAATGTGATGTTAACCTGTTCAAGAAAATGACATGTGGTCATCCAAGCAAGGCCTACCATTGAAATGATGGGTCAAAATAGGGAAATTGTCAACTAGGTTACCTGTCAACTAAGTTACTGTTGATAAATCGTGATCTTCTCGCTCCCAGGAAAGAAACTTAAAATAACGAGACTAATGGAGTCTCTGAAAAGGTTCAAATGGGTAGTTTAATTAAGTAACGTGGTTGAATAACAAGCATGGGTAATGGAGAGACAAAGCCGGTGTTGTCTTGAGGGAGGCTGCAGCGAAGGGAAGAGACTGAGTTATCTTTCGTCCTGCCTTTTTATCCACGTCTCGTTGTCCCCCGCTGTGCAAATAGTGGGTGGCCCCCCTACTCATTTGCCGGTTCGATATCGCGAGAGCACAGATGATTTCGACATTGATATTCTCTGCCTACTTCCTTAAGCATTTTCTCCTCATTATCTCTGTCATGACTTTCTATTTAATACCTTGTAAACAGCTGTAATACTTAGTTTAGAAGTCCTAGTGGTTCCGCTCCGGCACAGTTCTTATTTTACGGAAATTCCCTCTGACGTCATAGCTTCTCACGTATCTGTAAACACTACGATCAACTAGACCTTCATTTAATATTCAGCAGTAATAATATCTTAACGTCTATCGATGTAGTGTTAAAGTCCGTACGTTTGTGTGTAACACTCCAAGTCATTTTCACTTTACATTCAGAAAACGCAACATTAGTCACAAGCTAACCGGATAAAGGATCTTTCAGAATAAAAGCTTGGCATTGATTTCCTGAGAACTTCCGGGCTTTTCCACAATAAAACAGCTTTAAACTGACGATATGTTTTAGACTGAATTATGCTGTTTAACATTGATTTTAATTTCTAACATTACCCAGTACTGTAATAACTGTAGTAACTTAGTTGACAGGTAACCTAGTTGACAATTTGTATGACATGTAGACGTCATTACACATCATTATCAATGGAATTTTGCACTTCTGCCTTGAAATGAACATAGTGCTGATGGTTAATAATGTGTCCAGTCAACTATGTTATTTGCGTCAAATGTTTGACTTTCATTGTCAACTATGTTGCACCTCATTTTTTCAAATTTTAAATGTCTAAAATATTGTTTCCGATATCCTTTATAGTATAATGTATATCTACACAGGTTGGAGTTTTACATGACATCTCTTAAAACTATCAAAATGACCTGTATGGTAGTTTTATAATACAAAATATCCCTAAACTTAATGACAGTGCTGAACATATCACATGAAAAAACAAAACTTTAATACAATTATTTTTTAAACTTTAAAAAATCTTTGGATATATGGTAGAATAGACTCAAGAGCCTTTCAAATTTGATTTTACTTGAAGTGCAGGACTTAATCAAATGATTGTAATGACATCAAGTTTGTCCGTAACATAGTTGACAAACTGAGTAGTGAAAACATCCTTTCCCTTAAAATAAAATAAAATAAAAAAATGTTTAAGCTTTGCAACTAGTGGATATGTTACACTGAGGAATATACTAACTTGAACCACTGATTGTTCTATTGAGAAAGAACACTTTCTTTGTACTGTTTTGTTGATGTGAAATGCACCCTAAATTATAGAATCAGTCGCACACACTTCTTAAATAATAAAACCCTGGTCCACAGAGATGTAATGACAGAGAGTCACCGGAGGGGCGCTGCTGTTCTACTGCAGTTGTTGTTTGAAATGAAGTACTTTGGCGCCCCCTGTGGGCTAAACATGAGAATTACACCAGGTCATTTGTGATAATCTCAATGTAGCGGAACAAATGTATTATTCTAAATAAATACAATTGTAAAAATTAAAAGTGCAATAAGTATATTAATAATTATTTTATCTTATTGTATTTAATACACAATATATATATATATATATATATATATATATATATATATATATTTCCAGCTACTTGCTCAGCTCCTTATTATTTTCTTTTAATATATTTTAGTGGAAATACATATGACAAACTAAAGTATTATTACAATGCTCCTGAAAAACATTAGTGATAATTAATATTTTAAATATGAAAAAAATATGTATATAAACAAATTATTATACTTTTTTATTTGTATTTATTGTTATAATTATTAGTTATATTATTATTTTTGTAACTCATATTTTTTTATATTCTAACATTGATTTCCTGTGTGCTATGATGAGTTAATTTCCTCCTGGGAAGATGGAACAATGTCGTTTTGTTTATAACTGTTCTTCTGAAGAAAGACACTTCATGGGATCTGTAATATAAAAAAAGACTTTACACATTCTTGTGAAAATACTCAAGAAAACCGATTCAGCGTTAGAGAAATGCTTCCTGTTTATGTGACTGAAAACATTTAGTGCCACGGAAACAAATATGTAAATAAATATTCCTCACAGGAAACATTTAAAACGCAATAAAACATTCAGACACTTACACACACACGTACACACGTACACACACTTCTTATGTGCAGACCAAGAAAATGTCCAACTTTGATAAAAACATAAAAATATAGTTTAATTATATATTCCCTTAACAGTGCAGAATTGTTAACTTAATAAAAATTCAAAATAATTAAAAAAATGTTCCTAGACATTTTCTATTTAACTCAACATTTGTCTCAAAATATTGTAACTATAAAAAAATAATTCAATCAACATTTTGTTACTGAAATATTTCAATTTACAATTATTAACAATTTACAAATATATCAGTTATTACAGTTTTTCCTGAAATATTTGGAGTTTTTTTCATCCTCCAAAAAAGATATTTCTATTTATTAAATGATTACAACATTTCTTTCAATATTACTTTTTTTCTTGTCTAATTTCCAAAAGAGCTGCCTTGTTGGTTCGGGTTGAAAAGCTTTCGTCCAATCAGGTGCCTCGTAGCACAACCATTACGTGTCCAATGTTTGTAAGTGTGGTGGTATGCAAGACAAGCACAAACATATGGATTTGTGCACAAAGCCATAAAGAATTATTATAATCGTACTGCTTTAAGTTCAGAGCACCTTTGAATAAATAAATACAACTAATATACTAAATATACAAAAAGATCAAGTAGATTTCATGCAAATCTTTCCGTCTCTGCAATCTCCCGAAAAGGCATTTTGGGTAAAAATGAACTATGATTAAATATCTTTGTTAAGAGATATGTGAATTTCTAAAGGAGCCTCCCTGTTGGTCTAGCTGTCATCCAATCAGATCATTTCTCCTGGAATACAAAAACAAATTTGTTTCAAACAATCTTTTTTTTCGCCAAATAGGTCCAGCTTTCGTCCAATCAGGAGCCTCGTAGCACAGCCATTAAGTGTCCAATGCTAGGGAAGTGTACCATCATGGTTTAGGGGGCCATTGGGTGTTGGATTGGGTCTTCGTAAGGAAATAGAAGGACGTTTCCAAATATGCTGACAAACTAATCAAGCTTTCGTCCAATCATGTGCCTCGTAGGACACCCATTAAGTGTCCAATGCTAGTAAGTGTCCTTTGGAAGTGTACTGTCATGGTTTAGGGGGACATTGGGCTGTTTCTTCTCCGGCGGTTCAGTGAAATAGCGGCGGCGATGGACCCCCGGCGGCCGGACAGCGAGGTGCGTGCTTCCCTCAGGTTGTCCCTGAACCTGCGGGTGGAGTAGTAGTACAGCACCGGGTTGATGCCGCTGTTGGACGCCGCCATGCACAGAGTCACGGCGACCACCCTCTGCAGCGGTGCCGTGACATCGCAACTCCAGCCGGCAAACGTGGCGTGAAGATGCACCGAACGCATCACGTGGTACGGCAGGAAACACACCACGAATGTCACCATCACCATAGCGACCAGGTGTACGGAGCGCTGGCGGTTGCATTGGCGAAGTCGTGCGGACGGACCCTCGGCGCCATGGAGGCTTGAGCGTCTGGTGAGGCGGCGCACGATCCGACTGTAGCTCAGCACGATGGTGAGGAAGGGAAGCAGGAAACCAATCAACAGCGCCACGTAGTTCATGATCAGAACCTTCCTCGATAAGGAGCCAGTCGGAGGGTCGAAGCAGTGGTAAACCCCCGATCTGAGAGAAGGATAGGGAGGATGGAAAATAACAATCAAAGGGGATGTTTTGTATGTTTAAAATAAAGTATTTTGGGTAGTGGATAGGTATTTCTTTCCTTTGACAGACAAATTGTTCTGTACTTTTTTTAATGTGCTGAAAGTGCCTTTGTCTGCAAATAACAAATGAAAAGATTTGTACATATTTTTTTTTTTTATACAAATAAAACACATCAAAATGAAAGGACACATTTTATAAAATATTTTAAGTTTTTTATTTCCTGTCTCACCTGCAGATCCTTCCCTGGAGCAGGAAGGGTGCGGAGGCCGCGCCCACAAACAACCAAACTCCCAAACAGACCAATAGGGCTTTATTGGGCGTGGCCAGAGCGCGATGACGCAGGGGGCGTGTCACCGCGAGCCACCGGAGCACGCTCAGTAGAGTCAGGAAGAGGATGCTGCGCGGGAAATTCTTTTATTTATATTAGTTTAATATTACAACTTCTCTTCTAGAAATATCACACATTTGTTTATTGTAATTTTTACCTTGAATAAATATATAAACTTCTTTCGTGAAATGATAAAAGATTTTTTTCTCGTAAAATACAACAATATTCTATTTTGAATTTAAACTTTTTTTTTTCCAGTTCCAAAATTAATGCAAAAAAACTATTTTTTGCCAAAGTTTCCATCGTAAAATATTACAAATGTCTTCCTCTAATTTGTGTTCTTACATCTGGAATATTTGTACCAAGGTTATTTGTTGTTACCTTGCGTTTTCTTTACATATATGTGAATGTTATATTTTACAAAAAAGGAAGGAATTTTATAGTTGTTTTTAACTTGATGTTTCCTCAAGTCAAAACCATATTTAGAAAAAGAGATGTTTGCTATATTCCTGTTATTATATACTTCTATAGATACTGTCATTTCTGCTCTAATTGTTCAAACGTACTTCAGTTTTGTGTTACCTTGTGTTTTTATATATATGTGAATGTTCAATTTACAAAAAAATGTAGGACTTTTTTATGAAATGTTTCCTCAACATTTTGAGATGTAATCCTCAAAATTGTTATTTTTTCTCAAGTCAAAACTATATTTATTTAAAAAAGGTCTATGCGATATTCCTCTAACTATATAGATACTTATTTTTTTCTCTAATACAGCGGTTCCCAACCTGTGGGCCCCCTAGTGGTCCGCGAAGGCATTGCAAGTCGGCCGCCACATTTAATTTATTTTATTTTGTACAGGCTAAAGACACAAACATGGACATAACAATAACATATAGGAGATGACCATTCCCATCTCAGACAACAACAAACAAAAACAGAAGGAATAAAGATACAGTCAGTAGGATCACTTCAACATTTCACAAACGAAAATAGGTTGACAACCAAAAACCACCAAAAACACAAACATGGCATATTTATAGTTCCTTTAATCCCACTCTTCCTTAGAGCTCATTATTTCCCATGTCATGGCGTGTTGAGCCGCCCTTTGATTTTTTGTGGCAATAATTATTTTCAAAATAAATTGAATTTTTAATCTACTCTTCGAACACCTTAAATTAAGATTACTCCTTGATTGACTGGACTTGATTGAAAATATGTATTTTAGCCAGAAGAATAGTTGTATTTATTAACTGTGTGCGGTCTTCATCTAAAAGCCCATATCAAATATGAAAGGGTGTAAATGTAAATTCAATATTTGCCGCCAAATAATTTGCAAAACCTTGTGGAAACATTTCATTATTAAGATATTTTTTATTTTAACCTCTTTTCCTTTCTCTCTCTTGATCCTCCTTAGCAACGGTCGTTACAGTCCTTAGCAACGGCCTGTACTGCTGGATTTACAACGTGTCACATGTTCTGAATTGACCAATCAGAACTTTATTTAGTTTCCGTATTGTTTATGGTTGAATGTGGGCCGCGAACATTATTTTGATTCTTAAGTGGGCCCTGAGTAGAAAAAGGTTGGGAACCGCTGGTCTAATATTACACATATCTGCTCTAAGTGTTAAAATGTACTTCAGTGTTTGTTACCTCGTGTACAGGTTGACGTAGAAGCAGTAGACGTAGAGTCTGCACAGCCAATCAGAAAACATCCAGACGCGTCCACTGAAGTAATAATGAAGCCTCAGAGGCACGTGAGCGAGAAGCTGAAGTCTGAGAGGGCGAGGTTCGTCATGACGACACAGGAGGCGGAGCTTCTGCAGGAAAAAGGAAGAGATTACATGTGTATTATTTTTTTAATTTTTTTAACCCTAACTCGTATGACCACTTATTATGAGGGAAAAAAGTAGGAGGAGTAGGAGGGGCGGTGCAACACGGGGATAACAAGACTAAAACACTAAGATATTATTGTAACAACTATTATTATTATATATATATTAGGATGATTATTATATTGTTATAGATTAGATTATATTATTAGTATTAGTAGATATTATTATTATTATATTATACACAAAAAACTATTATATATATTTGTAACGCATTAGTATTTTTTTAAACATTTTTATAATCATAATTATTTCATTTATCTTCAACGCTATTATTATATTATTATTATATTATTATATATATTATATTATTATTATATTATTATTATTATTATTATTATTATTATATTATTTGAAAGATTTTTCTCATAAATTAAACTCAACAGGAGGTAAAATATAATCTTTTCTTAAAGCATATTTTTAACTTTAAAACAAATAATGACGTCTCCCAGTGGGAGCTGTATTTCTTAGTTGTTTATTTACATTTGTTTTGTAAATTTAAATAAACAAATATGCGAAACCCTCATGGCCAACAAATATCAAATCATAACCTTCATTTTGTGGACAGGTGTAGACGCTGCTGTCTGAATGTTGAGAGGGATGTAAATATTATATTATTATATATAATAATATAATAGGAGTTACAGCAGCTCTCTGTGTGTCATAAAGGCGTAGTGTTGAGTTTGCAGTTGAATGCAAATTAAATTCAAACCGTCTCTTCTGAACGTTACTGATAATACCTGACCTCTTAGAAACTGTGGAGATCATTGGTTTCTAACGACAGTCTCTCCTCAGTCACATATTTACAGTGTGATATCTGTGTGTGGACCTGACCACACACTTATTACCCGGCTGACTGTGCGGATGGTCGGGGAAATACCAAAATTATGAAAACACTAAAACAAATTAAAATGCAACAAAAAATAATGATAATTTAAATAATAAAAAATAATAATAATTGTAAATTAAAGTAAGAAATAGAAAGAGATTTAGAAAATGTAAATATATAAATACAAATAATAAAGCTGCAAACATGTCTGTTGTTTTGATTTGCATAAAACACAAACTGGTTATTCACGTTTTATCCTGAACGGTAAATCCCCTGAACGAAGAGACGTTCTGCAGAGAGGGGAATTATACAGTGCGTTTGTCTTCTTCTTTATTATTATATATATTTATTTATTATTATTGTGTATTTACCTGCGGCTCCTCTGCAGGATGAAGACGACGAGCGCCCCCCCGTTACAGATCAGGGTGACGGGGAACAGCAGCAGGTAGGTGACGCTGTACGCCAGGTACTTAAAGGAGTCCTCGGAACAACCCCCCACTGACGAGCTGTTACTCACGCACGCTGAAAACACAGATTTTAAGATAAGTGAAAATATTTCCAAATAAAAGTCTTAATTATTAAATAAAAAAACATCAATTAAAGTTGAAAATGTTGAGAATAAGAAAGTGATATCTCATGAATTCAAGGCAAAATAAATTCAATATTTTATGAAAACTAGTGTGAATAATTTGTAATTTTCAAGTAAAAAAAGGTGTAATATTCGACGAGAAGTCTTGATTGTTAAAGAAACATTTATTAAATTTGAAGGAAATGTTGAGAAAAGTGAAATATTTTTATGAATCAATAGTTTACATTTTTAAGGAAAAAACCTTTGTAAATATAAAAAAACATTTTATCTGAGGAAAATAAATTTGAGCAAAGTCAAAGATTTGGAGAAAAAAAGTCTTAATTAATTCCTTATTGGGAAAACAAAAATAAACATATTTTAAGAACAAATATCAAATCAATTCAACAAAAACCGAAGGAAATATTTCAGGAAGAAAGTGAGTAAAAAACATTATAGAGAAACATTCGGAGATAAATTCACAAAAAATCAAAGGAAATAAAACGAGGGAATAAAATAATATTCCTAATAATGTTCGTCAACGACATAAACACAATTATTAATATTACACTATGAGTTTTTCTGACGTGTTATGTTTATATATGCTAATGAGGCTAATGCTAACTTTTTGTTATTTTGGTAGCAGTAAAAAGAAATCCCACAAGTATTTCCAGGTGTGTCTAAAACAAATGTTATTCCTGTAATCCGAATACCAGGAAACTGTGTGTGGGTGTGTGTGTGGGTGTGTGTGTGTGTGTGTGTGTGTGTGTGTGTGTGTGTGTGTGTGTGTGTGTGTGTGTGTGTGTGGGTGTGTGTGTGCGAGTGTGTGTGTGGTGTGTGTGTGTGTGTGAGTGTGCGTGTGTGTGTGTGTGTGTGTGTGTGTGTGGTGTGTGTGAGTGTGCGTGTGTGTGTGTGTGTGTGTGTGTGTGTGAGTGTGCGTGTGTGTGTGTGTGTGTGTGTGTGTTAAACAAAGCAGTCCTTGTTAGTACAACACCTGCTGACAGAAACACACCTGACGACATACAGTATTTGAATGAAGAGTTGGACCATTTGGATTTGCATGGATTTATTATTAGTTTCTTTATCGTCATGAAGGACGTTTGTTGGTTTATTTGTGTCTCTATGATCATTGTATGTGCGTTAATGCAGCTCTTCTTGTCTATTTGTGGTCATTTCCAGAAGTTTACTGAGTTTTTGGAAATTATTTTGAGTTTTATTATATTTTTGAGAGTTGTGAAGGAGTTTTTTGTAGTTATTTGTAGTTTTTTGCAGTTATTTTGAGGCCATTTAGTATATCTTTTGTCACTTTTTGTAGTTTGGAGTCTTTTTGTAGTTATTTATAGTTTCTTTATGTCCATTAATAAAGTTTTGTTTGTCGTTCTGAGTCTCTTTTTAGTGAATTGGTGCCTCTTTGTCATCATTTGTGGTCGTTTTGTGTAGTTCAGTGGACACTAAGTGGGCTTTTGATGTTGTTTTAGGTCCCTTTGATGCAGTTTTTGCATCATTACAGTTGTTTTGTGTTTTCTCCTCTCATTAGTCTGTTTTTTCAGGTCTCAGGCTCGAAAATGACATTCCCAGAACAAATGACCATATCTTCCCTTCTAAAAGGGTTAAATTAATAATCTTTTTTCTCAAAGTAATGATAAACCTGTGAGTTGGATGTAGAAAAGTCAGAATCAATATAGATGTTTTTTATTTTAAAGAAATTCAGATTTTACATAGTAAAAAACTGTAAATTATAGTGTCCGTCCAAAGATTATTTTCTACTTATAGTGAAAACTACCCTTGGATGATGGTAAGGTGGTCCTCTCATTAAACCTCTCTTAAAACACGTTCTCCACAGCTGACGAGGAGCAGATGTGTTTTAAAGTGTGTGTTCGTTTCCTCTGAGTTTCTGCAGCGCCGCCTGTGAAAAGTGTTTACGCTGAACCTCTCGTAAAATGTCCGACATACACACAGCGCGACCTCCGACCTCTGTGTTTATATTTACTCTCACTGGAAATGCAGTGTGAGATTAAACTTCAACCTCTCCTCACGTCTGATTTAAGACCGTTTAGAAATGCCTTTTTATAGTCTTTCTGAGAGTTTTGATAGTTTTGGTTTCTGTGGTCATTCTGAGTCACTTTCTGAGGCTCTTTCATGATATCTGTGGTTTCCCCTCTCTTGTAGTGTGTTATGTTTTAGTGGAGGTAAATGGTCTTCAAAGACATGTTTAATCTGAGGTTTAACGTAAACACTGTTGCTGCAGAAACTCAGAGGAAACTACAAACAACTCGTTTAGTTTCAATCACTTTAAGACTGGAGTTCAGGAGCAGAAACAAGAACATGTGTTAAAAACTGGGTTTAAAAACGAACCCGTCCTCTTTAACCTGTTCAGCCCTGAGCCTGTTTTTCAGGTCTCAGGCTCGAAAATGACATTCCCAGAACAAATGACTATATCTTCCCTTCTAAAAGGGTTAAATTAATAATCTTTTTTCTCAAAGTAATGATAAACCTGTGAGTTGGATGTAGAAAAGTCAGAATCAATATAGAATTGTTTTATTTTAAAGTAAAATCAGATTGAACATAGTAAAGAAATGTAAATGATAGTGTCCGTCCAAAATAAACACATACTTATAGTGAAAACTACCCTTGAATGATGGGTTAGTAGACCTAAAAGCTTTAGGAATCCAAACTATAACATATAATAAGTACCCTGTATCAAGATTGATGCAAAACAAATGAAATGTGACATTACTAGAGAGGTTTAGCAAAATAAACCCACTTCTGGGGTCATTTGGGTGGATTTTCCATACCTCTGGAACCCATTGGTCGATTTTGCGGGGGCTGCCGGGCTTAACAGGTTAACTGTACAGATCTTCTATTATGAGATGTTTAATTAGAGAAAATACACTAAATTATCACAAAAAACGCCTCCTTTGGACTCCTTCCTACTTCCTGAACATAGTAACATCACTACGGAACACTCTTATTGGCTAGGACTCATTTTACGTAAAACAAACTTCTAACATCTAACGCAAACTAGCCTCCTATTACTTTTACTTTTGACACTTTAAGTACATTTTGCTGATAAAACTTCCACTATTTATAATTAACCAACATTTTTACAACTTTTACTTATATTCGAGTATTTTAACCCAACGAGACCTCCGTTATCGGTTACCTCCGTTATTTAGCTCGGCAAGGACTCAGATAACAGCTAACGCTAACTAGCCTCCTAATACTTTAACTTTTGACACTTTAATTAAATGTAGCTTAAGTTATTTTGTGTTATATATCTTACAACATTTTTTTTACATTAATAATGTAAACGCAAAATAAAGTAAACACATAATGCAGGTAAGGTTATAAACAATAAGAAACATAATCATTATTTAATATTAACTTAAAAAATATCTAATAATCGTCATTTTTATAAAATAGACATGATGGGCATTCTTTATACTACTTGTACTTTTTATACTTTAAGTACATTTTGCTGATAAAACTTCTACTACTTTCACTTAACCCACATTTGTGCGATTTGACTTGTATTTGAGTATTTTATCAAAAAAGTATTTATATATTTTTCCTGAAGTAAAATATCAGAGTAGATCTTTAAAACATTTTTCTGCCAAACAGAGTTGAGTTTATATTGAAGCGAGACGATCCTCTGAGTGTTTAACAAACCAAAACACCTTGTAAGGCTTTGAATTTAAAGAATCTAAGTGTGCTTTATTTTGAAATGTCGTCACTCACCGTTCATCCTGTTCTTTTTTATTTCATTTCATTTTTATTCTCCGTCCCTCTGTTTATTCCCTCTTCTCCTGCGGCGATAAACCCTGAGTGAGTGTCTGAGCGAGAGAGAGTGTGTGTAATGGATTTCCTGGGAAGTGGGCGGGCCACCACACACACACACACACACACCACCACACACACACACCACCACACACACACACACACACAAATATCAGTTGCAGTCAGATTCCTCTCTGGAATTGAAATGTGTCTTGAACCAATACAAGTGAAAACGTGACTGAACATGTTTCATATTGCTGCTGTTGACATTCTTACACACACACACACACACACACACACACACACACACACACACACACACCACACACGCACGCACGCACGCACGCACAAACACACACTCACACACACACACAACACACACACACACACACACAACACACACACACCACAACACATACAGAGAGACCACACGCACACACACACACCCACACACAACACCACACACACACACAACACACACACACAGAGACACACCACACACACACACACACACAACACCACAACACACACACACACACACACACACACACCACACACACACACACACACAGAGACCACACACCTGGAGGTAATTGTTGTTTAATTGTTATAATTTTAGATTTTTCTATTCAGTAAATTCATTTGTAATACAGTCCTGCAGCCAGCAGGTGGCAGCACAGGAGATTCATTTTTGTATTCAATTACTGTTATTAGCGATTCCTCTAAGAATTAAACACATCGGAGACCTTAAATAATTCCCACGCCGCTCAACGCCGTACGGTTTCTCTCTCGCTTAAATCTCTACGATTCATCTTTTTTAGTTTTTGTGTTTTTAATTTTTTTCAGCTGTAATGTTTCTCTTTTGCAAAACATCTCTAATGAATATTTTTTTGAAATGTTAAAGGGCCCATGTCATGATTTTCCGGTTATTACCCGTCCCCTTGTGTGTTATGAAGGTTTTTATGCATGTAAACGGTGTGCAGATTCAAAACCCTCAAAGTACACCCTGTAGCCGAGTAAACTCTAACACAGAAAATACCTCCCCAAAACGCCTCGTTGGAGATACGTCATTGTCCATTTGAGTCTTCCATTTAGTTCCGGGTACGGCCCTGATGTCATGCGGTACCCGGAACGAAATGGACCAATCCCGAAGAGCTATGGCCACACCCAGCGGCGCTGGCCGCACCCTCTGCCCAGCCTAACATTTACTGTTGGAAGCTCGGGTTCAGTTCACAATCGATCCAGTCATGCCCAATGCCAAGGACCTGTTTCCTGAATGTGAGGAGAAATCTGAGCTGTTTGTCCTACCGACGGAAGAACCACGACGAAGTTAGTGGTTGAAATTGTTGTTTAACACTGTTCCTTCAGAGGGTTCGAAGACGTTACTGTGTTGCGCGGCATATTTCACAGACGAAAGCTTCCAAAACATTGCCCAGTTTGAGGGCCGGATATGCACAGCATTTGAAACTGAAGGACGATGCTATTCCTAGTTTGTTTGGACCGTTTGGAGCAGGGGAAGATTCGGGGTACACAACCTGTAGTTTGCGTTGTTATTTGTGTATTATCAAACAAGACTGTTTTAAATGTGTAAACTGTGTCGGACTGCTAGCCATTGACACAGTGCTAACTGTGCTAACTAAGTTGCTAGAGTTTCCATATATCAACTCTAATATCAGCAGATGGCCTTGCATACATGTATCTTCATAGGCAGGAGAATGTCTGCACACACGAAATACTCATAGACGGTATACTCCGGGTGATTTGCCGTACGGTCAGAAACGTAATTACATTATAGCTGGCGTAGCGTGTATGCTACCGAAGCTAACCAACGGAGCTAGACATGGTTTGCTCAGGAACATTTTTTTGTTATGCCAGCTACAATGAATGTAGCAGACTACACTCAAAAAACGGATTCTTGGTCCACATAAATATGAAGCAATATTTTCAGATATAATATAACTGAAATCTGTCAAATATAAAGTGGATTTGTTCAAGCATTGAACACAACGTGAATATGTTGAATATAAACTGAATGTAAGACAATTAGTACAGTTTATTTCTATTAAATCCCATAATGGAAGGCAGACCCTGAAGGGAGGTAACGCGCATGCGCAAAGCATGACGTTACTGACGTGACTAGTGTTCACACTGGACGTAGACTTGGCGTTTTCAAACCTACACCGTCAATCGACGGACTTTAGGTAAGTCTAATTGTTTCATATTCCGCTGCTTAACCATACGTTATTGAAGATGAAAAGTTATTTTAACGTGTTTATGCTATACATAGACGAATAGAATTGTCTGCATGTGTATATTCGTCATGCAGTTAGGTTCGCGCTTCACAATGCTGGCTGGCTAGCTAGCAAAACGAGGGCCAGCTAGCGAAACGAGGCATAGCTAGTTGGGTGCTGCTTGTACTAAGCATGAACCAGAGCCAGCAGCACCTTTTGTGCTTTGTTTGCCCTCGTGAGAGTTAGTAATTCAAGTTACATTGGAGTTCCTTTCGTGCGTATTTTTTGCTAACACTATCTAATATCGGCATGAAGGTGTTCTTTTCCCCATAATGACCAAGTCGCTGCACATTATCCCGCTTATTATATGGCCACATTCTCAACAAAGTAACGATATGACTCCCAATATTAATTTGAAATGCTTTTATGGATTTAGAACATGATTTATTGATTTAAAAAATAGTTGTATGTATTGATTTAAATTGACATCCATCCGCTAAGGAAAATAGTCCGTTGTTACCGTTTGAAAAACCGTAGCAACGGCAGGAAGGCGGAGCTTTATGATGACAGATTTGAAAACATCGTTGCTTGCTTTAAAGTAGCACAATTCATGATGTCAAACCTTGGGAAGTATCTAGATATCCCTGCCCATAATGCTAAAGCAACTGCACACTGAGATAGTTTTGCCCGTTTGATGTCTATGTCTGGACCGCTGCGTAAAAAGGAGGGTTTTCTGCCCGTTACTTCTCCGCTGTTTTCTTGTCGCTCTTGGTCTTGTCAGTTCGAAACTGCCAAACTGTATACAGATAAATCTATCGGCAAATGTGAGCGTCCTTACAACGGTCAAATAATCCTTGACAGCGGTCTGTCTGTTCTGGATTAACAACGTGTCCACGTGTTCTGAATTGACCAATCAGAATCGAGTATTCAACTAGCCATGTAATAATTTCTTATCTCAACTCTACTCTTCGTTAGTCCATGACATAAGGCTTAGCTATAGCTTGTAGCTCGAGCCAGACAGAAAGGGAGTAGAGTTAGGATAGGAAAGAAAAAAGAAATGCATAAATACATGGATGAAAATAAATAAATTTAAGACATATTGGAGCCCTCTTCATTACCAACTTCTATTCATAGCATTATGTACTTGATTTATGTATATATTTCATGAATTACTTGTGGTTTATTTTACTCTTTGTATACATTAATTTAGTATTTATTTCAATGTTATTTTTCTTGCCAATTCTTCTTCATTCTCTCAAGTATGTATTTACTCCTGCAATTATTTATACTATTAATTATTTCCCTAGTTCCTCTTATAGTTATTTGAGCATTCATTTTAGCATTTATTTATTTAGTGATTATTTGATTGATGTTTGTCATTTTGTTGTCCTCCATACTAGGGTTGGTGTGAATAATCAAATATGACATAATACTAATTAGTGATTAAAAAACCGACATTTTCTACCAAGTAGCATCATTTTTAAATTAAGCTCCTGCTCTGCATCACAGAAATCCAGCAGAGGCCTTATTATTTACATAATATTTCAATATCTTTTTGTTATAGATCTAGGAGCTAAATCAACATTGTGGATGGGCAACCTCTCTATATAGGTAAGTAATTTGAACGTGATGCAATCATTTCATTTCTTATACTTGATAGCATTGAGAAGTTTTTGAAACTTGTCTTTTTTTATTTTTTTTTAGGTGTAATATGTGAATGGGCGTGTGGCAATGTAAGGTGTGTTGGAAAGTCTGTAGCAAGTAGATACGAGCTGCTTAAACATGGTAAATTAAAAACATCAATGGGAACAGGTTCCGGCATCCTTGCCCATACACTAATTGCCCCTGCACATTTAGATTGTGGAACAGTCTTTTGAGTCATATATACCGTAGTCATAAAACCCAAACATCCCCAAAGCCGTCTGAGTTGTCTACATTTTCATGTCAGTTGTGTGCTTGCCCTGAGCTTTCAAATGAACAAGCTTATTTCAGTCATGTAAATGACATCTACGGAGAAATGAAACTGTAACATGCATGTTTAAAGATTGTGTTTTTAAAACTAACATCTACAATACATTTCATACTCATAAATACAGGAAACATAATCCCCATATTTTAAGTGATTTCAAAAACTGAGGTTGTTACTGTAGTTGTTGGATTAATTGAATCTGACAATTCTGTTATTGATGGTGCTGCAGATGCAGATGTAGAATCTGATACTTGTATAGATGCACATGGTTGTTTTGATACTGAAGATCTACCCAAGGTTATTGAGCAGAAAATTGCCTCTGTTTTACTGAAAATAGAACACATTTTGTTTTGTACCGGCAACAGCAATTGCCGAATTACTGCAGGAGAATTACACTTTTTGTTAAGCTTCTCATCTGTTTCCGATAACCTTAACGGCCTATCGGACATTTTTAAAAAAACCACTGTGTTGAAATTGATGAGTCCATTGTCAAAGAGCTTTAGCTCAAAGAAGTGTGTAAATCTAATCCCTTGACCAAAGCCTTTGCAAAAGACGGCCCCCCTCGCTACATCTTTCAAAAGAAAAAAGGTATTACAAAGAATATTTCAGTGTGGTAAATCCAGTTGAGTACATCCTTGATCCTAAGAGTAAAAAGACATATCAGTATATTCCTATATTGCGTTCTTGCAGCATCTGTTTAAGTAACAGTGACATACTAAAAGTGTAATTCACACACAAAAGTACACAGTGTTTAGGGCATGTATAAAGTCGATAAGGGATGGAAGTTACTCAAGAAATTGCCTTTTTACTGGGGAGGATTTGAAATTATCATTATCACTATATGTTGATGACTTTGAGGTGTGC